CATTCATTCAGCATATCGTTTATCAGCAGAAGCATATGGTCCAGATTTTACCAGAGCACATTGCTGCATCTCAGCATCTCGTTGCTTCATCTGCTTGATGGTGTTTTCCCACTGGTGGATGAGCTGCTGTGTCTCGTGGTGGGCCTGCTGCAGTATTTTCTGTAGTTTTATCCAAAGCAATCTGTTACAAAAAGCAGAAGAAACATACATTTCCTCCTGAGACCCAGAAAGAAAAGGTTTCTAAATTTCCTTTTTTGTTATGATCACACAAGTCTTTGGGGTGATATAAACATGACTAACAAAAGCTAAAAACATATATTTTTATTTTTGTTTTATTGTGTGTCCTTTGTAGAAGACATCGGGTGTTAGTTATGTGAAGCTTAGTATACAAACAACATTAACATACAAGTACATTTAGACAACATTAGAGCACAACAACTCAATGCAACAAATACTGAGCCCTCATTTGTAGTATTCCATCCTTTTTTGAAATGCAGAGATACATCTGACACTTGAGGCACTTGATGTATGTTTTCCCACTGCATCCGTCTGCCATGAACCCTAAGTGTTAGTTGTGGCCCATAGTGGACTCCATTTGTGTTGTGTAAAATTGGGGGAAATAAAAAGTTAGCAAATCCCCATGTCCTCCTCAGAGGACATTCATAAAAACATTTAGTTTTAGGTCAAATAATTATTACACTGCTCTGAAACTCACTACACTAACTCCTAAGATGTTCCCTTATTATAATTAATTTAAAATATTGACCTCACAACACTGGTAATGACAAAACTACAAACTTACCATTTCTCTTTCTATAAATAGTGCTTGTGTTGATGGACGCCATTTTGAAATACAATGAAATTATCTTTTTCAAAGCCACACCCCCACATATGTCACATGTCTGAAAAGCCCAGGATGTCCTCTGTGGAGTACAATTGGAGTTAATGCTGTGGCATGTATAACCTCAAAGTAATGGTCCAAAACCCAATGTGCTCCACAGAGTAAAAAATTGAATGGGTGGGTCTCTGGAGGATGGAGTAATGAGCCTTAATGTGAAGAGGAGTCAAATCTGAATGGCTTTTTTCAGAATTTTCTTTTGTAACTGTTTTTGGCTTGGCAGGCAGTCCAGAAACACACATTTATGTGCAAAAACTCTGAAAAAGCGACATGACGTTAGCCTTTAGAAAAATGAAATTGATCTAAACGTTGAGGTGGTTGCTTACCTGTGCGGATATAGTCTCAGTCAACTCTTTGTCGAGTGCTTTGCGCTTTTCATTGGCCTCCAGTGTCTTCTTCTCTATAGCCAGTGTGAGCGCCTTTATCAGGAAAGATGACAAAGCTCCAGATCAGTTGTAAACAGTAGTTTAGTTAGCTGGGAACAGAAACAATGTGCACATGTGAAATAATACAGCCCTCTCACCTTGATCCTCTGCTCATCCTGCTCAGCGTACTTGGTGATGGCCATAGTGTCCTCATCTCTGAGCGCTGACTCCTCTAAAAAGGAATCCATGGTCTGCTGGTCCCAGCTCATCTGGCTCCTAAACTTCTCTAGCTTCTGTTTGGCCTTGACGATATTGTTCTGAGGATATAGAAAAAGGTTACGTTGCACACTTTGCACCCTCTTGAATAGCTGTGTTTATGTTCAAAGTCAATGTTGTAGACCTCCAGCAGGTTCCTCCTCTCTGCTAAAGTCCGAAGGTCATTCTCCATCTTAGCAGTCTCCTGAGCCAGACGACCTCTCTCCCTTTCGACGAGAGCAGTGAGGTGTTTCTCCATCTCTCCTTCGCTTTCCTTCGCCTTGCACAGAGCCTATGTGCAGAAAAATACAACACACTGACTATACAGGACTGTCTCAGAAAATTAGAATATTGTGATAAAGTTCTTTATTTTCTGTAATGCAATTAAAAAAACAAAAATGTCATACATTCTGGATTCATTACAAATCAACTGAAATATTGCAAGCCTTTTATTATTTTAATATTGCTGATTATGGCATACAGCTTAAGAAAACTCAAAAATCCTATCTCAAAAAATTAGAATAGTTCCTCAGACCAAGTAAAAAAAAAAGATTTATAACAGCAAAACACAATCAAACATTTGAAAATGTCCATTAATGCACTCAGTACTTGGTTGGGAATCCTTTTGCACGGATTACTGCATCAATGCGGCGTGGCATGGAGGCAATCAGCCTGTGGCATTGCTGAGGTGTTATGGATGCCCAGGATGCTTCAATAGCGGCCTTTAGCTCATTAGCATTGTTGGGTCTGGTGTCTTTCAGCTTCTTCTTCACAATACCCCACATATTCTCTATGGGGTTCAGGTCAGGGGAATTTGCAGGCCAATCGAGGACAGTAATGCCATGGTCAGTACACCAGTTACTGGTGGTTTTGGCACTGTGGGCAGGTGCCAGATCATGCTGGAAAATGAATTCCTCATCTCCATAG